TGTGGGAGGCTGGGCCAGGCCTCCAGCTGGTGCCAATCAGCTGCTGCTCCATGGGTGTTGGTCCCCGACTGATCTGCACTGTGTCACTCCTCTCACCCAGAGACATGGTACAGTGCAGCCCAGGAGTCTGGCCTGCACAAAATGAGGTCTCCAAATTCCAAAGCAGTGCCTAATGGGAGTTGAAGTTCCCTCATTCTGGATGGGAGCATGTGTCTTGGCTGGTCCACACCTCCCACAATGTCATAGGAGTCTCTGGCAGTGATGTCTCGTGGGAGATGTCGTGTGGCCCTGGCGTGACAACTCCCACAGGCACCGTGTTGAATCCAAACCGTTCGGTTTTTGAGGTTACACCCAAACATTCTCCACAGAAGAAAAAAGATGTGTGCTGAAATTTTTTGGGGGAAAGGAGGTGTCCTTTTTTCCAGCCAGCTCTAAATCAGAGATTCATTTTTTTTTCCTGCTGCCTCTTTCTTGAATGAAAAAAAAATGAGCACTGGAAAGGTGTTTCTAGGTCACCACCAACTTGCTGGCACCCGCTAAGTGTTCTATATAGCCGTGTGCCAGGCTGTGAACAAATGAGGTTCTGTGTTGTTATCAAACTCAAAATCAAACTGCCTGAGAGTGTGTGGGGAGGGTTTGTAATTGAAACAGAGAGCGGAGCAGCAGCATGAAAAAGCATCTGCGTGTAAGGAAATATGTCTCCCCGCCATGTGCATTACTTTGCATTTATCAACATTAAAATTCATTTGCCGTTTTGTTGCCCAATCACGTAGTTTCGTGAGGTCCTTTTGAAGCTCTTCACGGTCTGCTTTGTTCTTAACCATCTTGAGTAGTTTAGTATCCTCTGCAAATTTTGCCACCTCTGTTTACCTCTTTCTCCAGATCACTTACAAATTTGTTGACCAGGATTAGTCCCAGTATGGACTCCTGTGGGACACCACTACTTACCTTTCTCCATTCTGAGAACTGACAGTTTATTCTTAACCAGTTAAAAAAGACAGAAACAAAGGGTATCAATCCATGAAAGGACCTTTTCTCTTATCTCATGACAATTTACTTTACTTGAGAGACTTTGGTGGGGGACCTTGTCAAAGGCTTTCTGTAAATCTAAGTACACTACATCCACTGGATCCCCCTTGTCCACATTTGTTGACCCACGCAAAGACTTTAGTAGATTAATAAGGCATGAATCCCCTTTACAGAAACCATGTTGACTTTCCCCCAACAAATTATGTTCATCTATGTGCCTGACAATTTTATTCTTTACTATAGCTTCAGCTAATTTGACTGGTACTGACGTTAGACTTAACGGTCTGTAATTGCCAGGATCACCTATAGAGCCCTTTTTAAAAATTGGCGTCACGTTAGCTATCTGCCAGTCATTAGGTACAGAAGCTGACTGAAAGGATAGGTTACAAACCACAGTTAGTAGTTCTGTAGTTTCACATTTGAGTTCTTTCAGAACTCTTGGGTGAATGTCATCTGGTCCCGGTGACTTGTTACTGTTTAGTTTATCAATTTGTTCCAAAACCTCCTCTAATGACACCTCAGACTGGGACAATTCCTCAGACCTGTTGCCCAAAAAGAATGGCTCAGGTTTGGGACTCTCCCTAACATCCTCCGCCGTGAAGACCGAAGCAAAGAATTCATTTAGCTCCTCTGCAATGACTTTATCATCTTTGAGTGCTCCTTCAGCATCTCAATCGTCCAAGGGCCCCATAGGTTGTTTAGCCAGCTTCCTGCTTCTAATGAACTTGAAAAACATTTTGCTATTACTTTTTTAGATTCGGCTAGCTGTTCTTCAAACTCCTTTTTGGCTTTTCTTATTGCAATTTTACACTTAATTTGACAAAGTTTATGCTCCTTTCTATTTTCTAGGATTAGATTCTATTTTCTAGGATTTAACTTCCACTTTTTAAAGGATGCCTTTTTATCTCTCAATGTTTCTTTTACTTGGTTGTTAGGGCACAGTGGTGGGGTTTTTTTGGTTCTCTTACTGTGTTTTTTGCTGTGGAGGTATAAATTTAAATTGGGCCTCTATTATGGTGTCTTTGAAAAGTGTCCATGTAGCTTGCAGGGATTTTACTTTGGGCACTGCATCTTTTAATTTCTGTTCAACTAACCTCCTCATTTTTGTGTAGTTCCCTTTTCTGAAATTCAGTGCCACAGTGCTGGGCTGTTAAATGTTATTTCCTTTTGGTCACTATTTCCAAGCGGTCCAGTTATATTTACCTCTTGGACCAGATCCTGCGCTCCGCTTAGGAATAAATAAAAAATTGCCTCTCCCCTTGTGGGTTCCAGAATCAGCTGCTCCAAGAAACAGTCATTTAAGGTATCAAGAAACTTCATCCCTGCATCCTGTCCTGAAGTGATGTGTACCCAATCAATATGGGGATAGTTGAAATCCCCCTCTATTACTGAGTATTTAATTTTTATAGCCTCTCTAATCTCCCTTAGCATTTCACAGTCATTATCACCGTCCTGATCAGTAATATATCCCTACTGCTATATTCTTATTGAAACATGGAATCCCTTATTGGAGATTCTATGGACTATTTTGGTTCATTTAAGGTTTTTATTTCATTTGATTCTACATTTTCTTTCATGTATAGTGTCACTCCCTCCTCCCCCCCCCCACGACCCGTTCTGTCCATCCGATATATGTTATACCCTGGTATGACTGTCTCTCATTTATTGTCCTTAATCCACCAAGTTTCCATGATGTCTATTATATCAATACCCTTTTTTAATCTGAGGAATTCTAGTTCAGTGTTTTTCAACATTTTTTTTATAAAGTACTGCTTTAAAAAAAAGTTATAATTACATCCTTTTTAAAATATATAAGTACCCTCAGTACCTACAGTTTTCAGACACACAATTTTTTTTCCTTCTATTGCAACACATTTGTTTAAACAATTTAATCATACCTTGGTGGGCGATGAAGTATTTGGGTGTAAAAAGTACAAAAATTATCAAGCGCTGTAAAATTTAAAACAAAAATTCAGTTTTCTTCAAATGTCAGTTGTGTTAACATACCTCCCAGACTTCTCTCACATAGCCCCAAGGGTTCTCGTACCACTGGTGGAGAAACACTGCTCTAGTTCACCCATCTTATTATTTAGACTTCTAGCGTTTGTGCATAAGCACTTTAAAATTTTGTCTCTATTTATCTGACGTTTCTTAATGTGTTTAGACTCTTTTCATTTGATTGTTTCTCATCTGATGCAAACCATATTTTATCATCTTCCATCCTCTCCTTTTTACTAGAACATAACGAATCTCTATTAATAGACCCTCCCCTTAGAGATGTGCATCTGTCGGCTTTCTCCCAGCCCTTAGTTTAAAAACTGCTCTACAACCTTTTTAATGTTAAGTGCAAGCAGTCTGGTTCCATTTTGATTTAAAGGAAGCCCATCTTTCCTGTATAAGCTTCCTCCTTTCCCTAAAGTTTCCCCAGTTCCTAATAAATGTAAACCTTTCCTCCCTACACCATCATCTCATCCATGTATTGAGACGGAAACTCTGCCTGCCTACCTGGCCCTACACGTGGAACTAGAAGTGTTTCAGAGAACGCTACCATAGAGGTCCTGGATTTCAATCTCTTTCTAGCAGCCTAAATTTGGCCTCCAGGACCTCTCTCCTACCTTCACTGGTACCTACATGTAACATGGCCACTGGCTCCTCTCCCACACTACATATAAGTCTGTCTAGATGTCTCGAGAGAGCTGCAACCTTTGCACCAGGCAGGCAAGTCACCATATGGTTCTCCCAGTCATCACAAACCCAGCTGTTTCTAATGATTGAATCTCGTATTACTAACACGTCTTTTTCATCGTCATTATGAAAAGATACCATAACATTCTCTGGAAGAGGGATCCAAATATGGGATCATTTCCCTCTGTTCCAGCTGAATGTTCTCCTTCCTTGAGCCTTTCACCCTCCTCTACAGCACAGGGGTTGTCTGACCGGAGGTGGGACCATTCTACGGTGTCCCGGAAAATCTCATCTATGTACCTCTCTGCCTCTCTTAGTTCCTCTAGTTCAGCCATCCTGCCCTCCAAAGACTGTACGTACTCTCTGAGGGCCAGGAGCTCCTTGAACCGAATGCACATAGATGCCACCCGCCCATAGGGCAGGTAATCATACATCCTACATTGGGTACAATGAACAGGATGGCTCCCACTTTGCTGCTGGGCTTGTACCTATGACCTCTCCTGTAGGTAATTAGATTCTTGATAGGTTTTTTTATTACAATCGGGTAGTTTTGGTTTTAGTTTGAAAGAAGTGTTAAAGAATGCCAAGTGTAGCTAGCCCCCTTCAAACTCTCCCTCTAAACGCCCTCACAAAACTCCCTGATAGCTGCTCCCATTAGCTAAGCTCCCTCATCACTTACTAGCTCTGGCCTTCCTGATAGCCCTGCCCCCTAGTAAAGGCCTGATGAATGGACAAAGGGTTAGGTTTCAAAGCCTTCTTAACAAGCATACAGCTTCCAACTGCAGGCCTCAGCACATGGTCCTTCAAATAAACAGCTCACAGACATCCAAAGAGACAGAAAAGCACACGTTCAGCACAGAGTATCTTTCGGGCAACCAGGAAGTATCCCACAAACACAAACACACACACTACAGCCAGCCACTTACCCCAAGGGTCCCATAATTGCTTCTCCTTCACCTGGAGAAATCCCTCATGAAACTCCATTAGCTACACTATGATGTCAAATAAAAGGCCTGTTTTGTTGACTTTGCAAAATGGAGCTGTAAGCTGATCTCAGGGACTCAGAGCTAAATCCAGAGCCACCACACTGTTGTCAATCCCGGGCTAGGTTCCGTATTCACTGAATTCAGAGTGACACCACTGTTGTCAATGGACACGTTCTGATCTCACTTCCTATGGGGTAAATTTGGAGTCAGGGCTAGAGTCTGATCTTAGCTATGTTTACACGGTCAATTAGGAAATCCAGATCTCTTAGGACAGAATAATCACTAGAGCCACAAAACAACCAGGGAGGGACCACTATTTATTCTCACTTAAAGATTCCAAATCAAATAGAATCCAAACAAAAACTGAGATTTGTTTCCCCTCCAAATCAGTCAAAATCCCCAGACACCAAAAAACCCGGCCAGCATCTTTTCCTGCTCACACATCTCACTGCTTTCTGAGCAGAAGAGAGAACAGCAACCAGGCCACGTTCCCATCCCTGAATCGTCCCATTAAATTATAGGAACAAGATCTTGTGCATGTTGGCCTAGTCAGCAGATCTGGCACTCTAAGACCGTGAGGATTGCAGAGATGTGTCTCTTCCCTGATAGCTACTGGCCCTTTAAGAAAAATGATGTCATATCAACCAGCCAATCCAGAATTCCAATAGGCCGAATGGTTTGAAGAACTGTAGGCTGAGTGGTTAATGGTGCGGCACAGAGATCCCATTGAGATGCTTCTGGTTCATAGTCAATGTTTTGTCAAGGGTTTGCATCCAACATGTCAAGGAAATCAACTGTCTGGATACTTTCAAGGACTGTGCGTTATTAGTTAATGGTACTCCACAAAGATGACATCATAGGTTAAGGGTCAATACTCATGTAGACATGAGGGATCTGATTGGCTAAAAAGTTTTCCTGGGCTGTAGGTTTGTTGGCTAACAGCGCAGGTATCAGAAATACCAGAGGTTGAATTTCTCAAAAAGCACCTCACCTGGATAATCCAACTGGCTGCATGATTTTAGGGTTGTTAATTGTCTCGGGGGGTTAAAGGTCAGAGTTCATGTAGACATTCCATCCTGGCAATCCAAACAGCTGAACATTGATAGGAATCAGTGAGTGTGAAAGGTTAAAGGTCAAAGTGAATGTAGATGCACCATCCAAGCAATCCCAGTAGCTGAATAACCATCGAGGCTCTTAATCCAGAGTTCAAAGGTCAAGGTTCATGTAGGTGCGCAGATTACGCTCCCAGGCCTGTGCTTTGGCCTCTCTGCGACGGGCCTCTTTCTTCCCCACTGTAGCTGCCCGTTGTGTCCTAGGCTGCTGCTCCCTGGGCTGAGCCACAGCGCTGGGGTCATTAGCGTTGAAATGGGTGACCTTGGGCCGGAGGTCGCTACGGAAGCCCAGGCCCTTCTGGTCCCTCTTGAGGACAGTCTGGACAGGGAATTTACGACCAGTGCCCTCAGGCCCCAGCCCAGCCTCAGCGTCCCAGCCCCCCTTGACCATGAGCTGGAAGCCGACGTTGTTCTCGGGGATGTGGTAGCGGGTGGGAGGCAGTGGGTCGCGCCGATTGAAGAGGTGGGCCGTGGAGCGTTCGTGGAGCTCTACGCTGTCCTCGCTATAATGCATCTTGCACACGGCACAGTATTTCCTCTCTGCTGGAGTCCTCCTGCTAGGGAGACAACAGGGTCAGGGACTACTTGGTTGGCTCAGGGAGATGAGGAACGGGACATAGGGCCTTTCCCCTTTTGGTCCCATCTGGTCCCAACTTGGGGAAACTAGCTAGTTGAGGCAGATGGGGAAGGGGAGACGGGACCTTTCTTCTCTAGAGAGCTCTAGCTCTGATTGGGGTTGGGTCAGGGGAGCAGAACCGAAGACTCACCTGGCCATCCTGCCCTCTGGCTGAGCCGTTTCACGCTCCTGGAGGATCCTCACTACATCCTGGTGCCCGGCTTCCTCGGCTAGGTCCACCGCATCCCGGCCCTGCGACTCGCACACGCCCACCCATGCGGCTCCCCGGGTCAGCAGGTATCTCACGGCCTCCCCCCGGCCTGCATAAGCGGCACACATGACCGCCGTCCAGTAATAACCGTCCCTGTAGTTCACATCGCACCCCTCCTTTTCCAGCAGCCGCCGCAGGGTCCTTGTGTCACCCTCCTGGGCCGATCTCAGCAGCAGGTTCCCACGGCGAGAGTCAGTCTGCCCTGTCTGGGTGGTGGGTGTCTCAGGCACCCTCGGGCGTCTCGGTGGGGCCTTGCGTTTTCGTAGGGGACTCGAGCGGTCACCGGAGGCCAGGACGCTCTCATAGAAGCTCCGGGCTTCCTCGCCTTCCATATCCGCATCCCCTTCCCGGCGTCGGACAGGGCACCCGGCCCGTATCTGGAGCTGCCCATCCTTCCAGAGGTCTGACTCTTCCCGGGCCCGGGTGAAGGAGATGAGCTGGGGGCCGGGGTTCATGGTGGAGACGGGGGGATGGAGGTGGGTCACTGGGCGGCCCCGGTGCACAGGGCGGGATCAGCCTGTTTCCTAGCGGGGAGGGGAACAAGGCCGGCAAAGGTAGGAGGCAGAGCGGT